GGCAACATCTAGGGCTCATTTCGGGCGCAGGGATTTGAGGGTCGCACAGGTTCTTGGCTGCCCATTCTTTATGCGCGTCTGCTCCTGTGCGTTCTTGTTGCCTTGGGTCGCAGTTTGCGACCTGTTGTCTCAGCTTTGCGTTGCAGAGTTTGTGGCGGCCGCCTCCCGGGTTGGCCCTTTCTTTTCCTTCTCTTTGGGTATGAAGCTCCAGGGAGCCGTAGGGGCTCCCCCACAGAAAACCAGCGTTGAATGTAATGAAACGCCATTTTCTGAGTGAGCCCCAGAGGCTCCCTGGCAACCCCCCCCCCCCTCCCACCGGTCGGCGGTTTTTTCGCGTTGGTTGAAGCTTAGCTTCCGAACTGAAGCTTGGCAGCCGGCGCGGTAGGTCCGGGGCTCCCCCTTCCCCTCTCGGGGCGGGGAGGGCTGCGCGGACGATCGGCGCGGCAGTAAAGTGTGATGTTTGCTTGTTTCCTTGTGATTGTAGGGAGTTTCTACCTCTCTGTTCGGTTTTTTGTTTTATTTTTTTACCATGTGGGGTTTCTTTTGTTATGCCTACCTTTCTGGGTGCCTAACCCCGGTCGATGGCAGATAAGGGAAAACCCCAACCACAAAGGGGTTTTCCAGGGCCATTGCTTCCTGAAACCTCTCTGAAGGGGCCAGGTTCTGGCGCTGGTCCCTGGTAGGTCTCAACTCCTTAGCTAATGTCCCGGTCTAATATAACATACATTAGCCCGATAAGCTCCAGGGAGCCTCCGGGGCTCACCCAGAAAAGGGCGTTTCATTACATTCAACGCTGGTTTTTTCCTAGTATCTTGCATGGATTGTATGTTAATGATGCAAGTCTATATTTTAGTGTTTCATGTCTCTCCTCCACTGCTGGAACCTGAGCACTGTTGCTCTTTCAGCTAACTGGTGTTGACTGTTCCTGAAACAGTAGATCTGTGAGAAACCATTGCTTTGTTTTGTTCTAACTGTTTCACCATGTTTAATTCAACCCATAATGCATGTTCCCCATGTCTTATTTGGCTCCTCTTGAGTCATCTGGCATCCAGGTAGTGTGTGGGACATGCTCTCCATAGTGATGCTTCTTGTTGGGAATTGATGATGTTGCCTGTGTGCTTGTGCATAAATAGTTCCTGGCCATGATTTTTGCACATTTTGATGCAAAACCTTGATTCTTCCTCCACTTTGAGTGCGTTTCAGTCCTCTTTTTATGGTTTGGATTTGTCGGTGTTGCAGGTATGCCACGGGGGGCTCGCTCGAGTTCCTCAATGAATGTCTCTTCACCCTTGTGCTTCCTCGTGATGTGGGTCTGGTGCAGTTGCATGCTTAGGTTCCCACCCTTTTGGCTGCCGAAGACCTTTGGACTCGCTGTCATTTGGCCTCGATCTTTCACTTCTTCAGTCTTCTGGAGCTGTCTTCGGATTGGTTTTTGGAGGATGTGGGGGCGTTGAGTGAGGGGCCTTTGGCCGGGGTTATGGTTTCTGCTGCCGAGGCGTTGTCTGTTTGCACAATCCTTCGAAAGGTGGTTTCCATGTTTTTCTCCTCTTGTCTCGTGTGTCAGCAGGTCATGCTGGCTCTGTCTTTGGATTCAACTTGGGCCCCTGACTCTGCAGTCTTCTTTGCCATTCTGTTCACTGTTCTTCCTGGAGGACATCATTGCCCAGTTTCTGTCGGCGGCTTTAATCAGTTGCCATCTTATTTTGAACTTGTTGGTGCTTGGGGGGGTGGGGCGGTTATTCCCGCTTTTGTAATCCACAAGTTATGAGTGAAATCTAACTAGCGAATCAAGCACTACAACACTTAGCATGTACCTATACCCAACATTTGTTAAGTATTCAGACTGGTCACACAGCTCGCATCTCTGGTTCTTTCACAGCTCGCCGGGTTCGGATTCTTGGTAAACTAGAGGAAGTCCCATCTGGTTCTGTCCCAGGTTCTGACCTGGCTGGATCTTGTTTTGGACTCTAGAACCGCTTCCATGTCTCTCTCTCCAGAGGCATTGCTGTGGCTGCGATCCTGCCTTCAGCTGTTTATGGGAAAAGGGGGGGGTCCCGGGTTACTCGGCAGTTGCTCCAGTAGTCTGAACTTTGCTGTGCTGGTTTACCTGCTGGGTCGGGTTTGGTTTTAGCATCTGTTCTAGCTCCTGGGATGCCCCTTCCTCCTCTCTTGCGTTCTCTGGGTTCAGCCTCTGTGGGCCTTGAATCGGCTGCTGCGTCGCCGGCTTCCTCTTTGGGTTTCTTGGGGTTACGAGGTTTTTTGGGGCTTTTTCCGTTGCTCGATGTGTTCATGGACTTGCTGTCTAAGGCTTTGTGACCAGCTCACCAGGTCAGCTAGGGGTGGTGGGGGTCCACCTTTCCGTTGGGCTCACAGCACTGTGCAGGAGTTTGCGGCAGTTTAGTTGACGCTTTGGAAGATTCGGGTCGCTTGAGGTTCGATGATCCAGCTCCATTTGGATTGTTCTCTGGTGGTTCGTTGCCTGAACCGTGGCGGTTTTCTTCGGTCCTTGCCTCTTTGGGGTTGGTTGCTTTGAGTGGCTCATCTGCTGGTTTCTTGGTGTTTGGCTCTCCATGCAGTTCATATCCGGGAAGTGTCCAACATCCTGGCGGATAGCCTGTCTCAGTTCATTTCCTTGTCCACAGAATGGACAGTCAATGCCGACTCCTTCAGTTGGTTCTGCCGGTCGTACGAGCTCCCGGAAGTGGACCTCTTTGCATCGGCATGGTCAGGGTGTCTCCCTATGTATGTGGTGCCCTTCCATGACAGCGGAGCCTTCACGGGGATGCCTTTTGGCAAGACTGGTCCAGGTGGGGTTACCTGTACCTCTTTCCCCCAGTCCAGCTGTTGCTTCGGGTTCCGGCTCTGTTGGAGTCTTAACACGGGAGAATAGTCCTAGTGGCCCCTTAGTGGTCCAGCCTTGATTTCAGGCGCTGCTTGAACGGTGTCCGAACCTGGAACGATTTCTGCGGCTCCGCCTCTTTCAGCAGGTCAAACTAGTCTGGTACACGGCTGGTTCAGTCTTCTCCTCAAGTCTTTTTGATGCGGGTTTATCATCGTTTGTATGGTGATCAGGTGGCTTCATTGATGGTGTCCCACCTGAGAGCATCTTGGCGACAGTATGACGTTTCCTGGCGTTATCTCCGCCATTTTCTCTCTCTTCGTAGGTTGTCTTCTATTTCACATTGGGTTGGAGTCCCTCTCTTTCTTGGCCTTTTCAGGACCATCATTTGATGCCAAATACTGTCCACTAGTATTGTGCGGCACTGGTGGAGCCGCTCCAGCTTGCGTTCGGGATGGATGTCACTTCCGCCCCTGTTTCTCGTACTTTGTTTCACCTCCGGCCTGCTCTTGCACCACCTGAGCCGTCCTAGTCCTTGGACACTATGCTCTCTCTTTTCTCTCTTCTCCTCAATTCGTGGTGACCCCTTCAGTTCAAGATAGTTTTTCCAAGTCTCTTTGGCATTCGCTTCTGGACGTTGGGTTGGTGAGCTTCAAGCTCTCTTCCGGCGCAGGGGTTTCTGCTCTTTCGGTCCTGGTAGTCGTTTTTTTTTCAGTTGCAGCCTTCTCCTTCTTTTCTAGTGAAGAACGAGATGGCCACTTTCCGGAGGGGTCCTTGGATCATTGATGCTTGGCTGGACAGGCAGGCAGTGTTTCATGTTTTGTGTTCGGTTGCAGCTTTTCGCCGTTATCTGCGCTCCTCGGCTTCCGTGGCTGGGAATGCGCTTTGGGTTGATTTAGTTTCCCTCGTTCCAGGGCTCAGGTCTCCCAGGTCATCCACAGGATTAATATGTCTAGCCAGCTTGTGGTCTATTCTCGTGCCCATGAAGTGCGTAAGTTTGCTGCTTTGGCTGCCATATTCGGCAACATGTCTTGGGCTGATATTCAGGTGCGGGGGTTTTGGAGTTTGAACAGGGTCCTGGCCACCCATTATTTGATCAACATTCCTGGTCCTGGGTGTTCGTGTGTGACTTTGGGTCGCAGGATGCAGCCAGTTGTCTCACCTTAGAGTTGAGGAGCGTGTGGCGGCTGCCTCCCGGGTAAGTCCCTCTTTTCCTTATCTTTGGTTATGTAGCTCCAAGGAGCCAAAAGGGCTCTCCACAGAAAACCAGCGTAGAATGTAATGAAACGCCATTTTCTGGGTGAGCCCCGGAGGCTGCCTGGCACCCTCCCTCCCTCCCACCAATTGGCGGTTTTTGCATTGTTTTGATGCTTAGCCTCCAAACTGGAGTTGCTGAGTAGCCGGCATGGAGGGTCCAGGAAGGGGAGGGCTGCGCGAACATTTGACACGGCGGCGAAGTATGACGTTTGCTTGTTTCCATGGATTTGGGGGAGTTCTGCCTCTCTGTTCGTGTTTTCAGTTGTAATATTCTTAACATGTGGGGTTTATTTTGTTATGCCTACTTTTCTGGGTGCCTAACCCTGGTCAATGGTAGATTAGGAAACCCCCCAAACATGGGGGGGGGGGTTCCTGGGGGCTATTGCTCCCTGTGCCTCTCTGAGGGGGCCAGGTTCTGGCTCATGATCCCCGGTAGGCTGAACTCCATTGACTAATGCCCTAGTCTAATATATCACACATTAGCCCAATAGCTCCAGGGAGCCTCCGGGGCTCACCCAGAAAATGGCGTTTCATTACATTCAATGCTGGTTTTTTAACATTGATGTCACACCATCTGTCTAGCATATCTTCCTGTCTTATTCCTTCACTCCAGATCTTTTGTGGCACTTTCCTTCTCTCACTCCAAGTTGTAGGTCATAGTCCTGGTATTTAAACTCAACTACTTCAAAATTCCCCCTCCTTTTCATCAACTAATCTACTGAAATCTTTTAGCATTCTCTGCAACAAAAACCATAATCTGCTAACCTCAAATTTGCTATACGTTTTGCTCCTATATGCTTGCCCCCCCTCCCCCCTTTTTCCCACATCAGCATATTGGTAATATTTAAATATGACATTTCTTAAATTTGTATATGTTATGATTATATTATTTCCCTGGTGACAGGACCAACAAATGGAACTTGATGGGGTATTGGAGCACCACCAAGTTCATGAGATTATTGAGCAGCAGGATGGCACCATCACCGAGGTGTACTATTACCAGCCGGTAGATCAGTATGATCATTACTCAGAACAAGTGGCAGGTGATTGCCAGCAGTATGAAAATAACACCATAGTAATCCAGCCACAAAACATAAAAGCAGAGCCTAATCTTTAGCTACTTACAATCTTTTGATTACTGATAAGCAGTTAAAACATTTTTGTTATATATGTATATGCCTTTAATGCATGCACCCTATATATGTGTTCTGAAGGAGTTCAGTCAAATAGAGCATATTGTAGAGAAAGCTGCTGCATTGATTTTCCAAATAGTGAAATGCAGTCAAAAGCCTTAAATATTACTCTAAACCATTATCTTGACATTACTATGGATGTGTGTTGTCTTGGTGTCACACAGTACACGGTATGTAATGGTACTTCCACCAAACACGTCAAGCTGTTCTAATATTTCATCCAGAAATGCCTAGTTATGGAGGTGAAATATGTATAAAGGACAAAATCATGATGCTGCACCCTATGGGTGAATCATAATTTTATATCATACATTACCAAAGAAGTTGCTCAATTATTCAACAGCTTAGTGTGGTATTTAATCATTATTTATTTACTTTATTTACTCATCTGATCATTCATAGTTTAGGAATATTCTGTGCCTAAGAAACATGATACTGTATCTTGAATGACTAATGTTACTTTTTTATTTTTTATAAAGTAGTAAGATTAAAAAATATATGAGATTTTATATAAAGAAAGTTTTGATGTGAAATTATTTGAAATGTTGCAGTTTAATGGTGTCTGCAACAAGTAAATAATTACAATTCCTTATATTAAGGATGAGTATATTAAAATTATCATTAATTTTATGTAGTCCCTTTATATTTCCCAAATACGTTTGTAGCATAATTTTTAGTGTACTGTAATTTTTATTAATTTGGGCTGGTTAAATGTTATAATTATTTTGTGTGCTTGTGTAATGGTCAATTTTTACTATTCCAAAAGGGGGGGGTTGAGGCAAAGCCTGCCTAAATATGGTCACATCCTTCTCTTGTTCCCAAGCTGAACAGCCTGTGTTGTGCACGTTCTTCACACATGTTGCCACAGTACTGTGAGCGTGCATCTGTTAGTACATTGTGACTTGCTGATATGTAATATAGTTAACCCTTTAACTGCGCAACGCGCCTGCAAGCCCACGTCTGGGGTGCGCTACGCGCCTCCAGGTATTTGTATTTTTTACGTTTCATTCAAAACTCCCGCGGCAACATGGGGTTCACATCAGCTTTCTCAGGGCTCTTGTAAACAGACGCCATCTTTAAAAAAAAAAATCATAGTTCACATTCCTGAGTGTGAGAGCCTCAGTAGTGAGTGAGCAACCAAGGCTGGTGCTTGCACCATGAGCGCACAGCACTGCTATTCAGCATGTGACCACAGCATCGCCTAATAATGTCAAAATATACATATAACTTGTGTTATTTATCCATGATAGTATTATAGAAGAGCCTGAGTGTGATAATGACTGGGTACAATGTTTAAATATCAGTGATTCAATGCTGTTCATGATGTTCACAGCGCTAGCCACAGCACCACAGCATTATTTCGTCCATCTAGGAATCTTCAAACGACTTCTTAGGTTCCTTTTCAAAATAAACTTGTGGTCAATTATTCATTTACAGGAATTAGTGACCAGGATTGTGGTTATAATTAGCATTGTGCGTAGTATTGTGGAAGGAGGAATTTTGGTGAGGGAGAGAATTGAGGTAGCCTCACTGTGTGGCAGCCTTTCTTGTTTTGCTCACCATACTAGCTTCGTGGTTCGCTATGGGGAACACACATGTATATGGGTATATACAGTGTGTGTGTGTGTGTGTGTGTATAGTGTAATAACAGCGACAGGAGTATGTTGAGTGGAGCTATTTTGGTGAGGGAGGTGATGTCGTAATCATAGCGTCGTCTGCTGTGTGATTTCTCATGCAGTGTATGGTGGCCACTGTACTGTTTGGACACAATACCGTCTTACTTGCATAGTTCTGGTAAATAAAACATGTAGATAGGTATATATAACATGTAAATAGTGTAATAAAAACAATAACAGTATGGTGGGAGGAGCAATGTTGGAGTGAGGGAGGTCCTGTCTGGGTGTGGCTGCTCACACTCGCGATGTTCTGAATGTGTCGATGGTAAATGTATATAGTGTGTGACAGTGTATAGTGTGTACATATGTTGTAAATGTGCATAAATGAGCATGAAACATTGGTGTGAATAACTGTATGATGGGAGGAGCAATGTTGGCGAATATAATGTTGGAGGAGTGAGGGAGGGCTGGCTGGGTGTGACAGCTCACACTCGCGGTGTTCTGAATGTGTTGATGGTGACTGTATAGTGTGTGACAGTATATAGTCTGTAAATAGATTGTATATATACATAAATTAGCATGATACATGGGGAATATGTGCAACATATTTGTACTCAAGTGTCATGCACGTAACAGTGTCCTCGGACAGTACGGATGTTTTGCTGCCATAATATAGTGTACGTGTTCATTATACATAGGATTAGCATGTAAAAACAAATAAAACGTATTTGGAACTGTGCACAAAAAAATGAACAAAAATATATTTGCGGCAACTCGCGCGCTGGGCCCCGCCCCGAGCGCCCTACTGGTCCCGAGAGTGTACGTCACAGGCGAACGGGGAATGATGACGTCTCGCCCCAACTTACGGACCCCATAGTAGCCAAAGTAAGTACAGTGTCGAAAAAGTTTTGACATACCCATACTGTGGAAAGGGTTTTTGACAATTTAAAAAAACAAAAGAATTTTTTCAAGAGAATTTATTTCTTGCGCATTGGGGGATGCCATATTTGGAAGCGGCGCAGTTAATGGGTTAAAAGAGATGTGTGTGTTGGATACTAGCATGTACAGAGTGGCAGTGAATACCACTTCGAAGATCACATCATGTGGAAGATGATGTGTTGCTTCAAGATCACATCATGTGGAAGATGATGTGATGCTTCAAGATCACATCATGTGGAAGATGATGTGATGCTTCAAGATCACATCATGTGGCTAGTAAAGCTGGCAGCCTCATTGGAAAAGTTTGAGGTTTACCTTTTACATGCAGAAAACCATAGAAAATGTATACAGTTCTTGGAGAGCAGATCTGACGAGATTTTCTGAGCAGGACAGTGTGGACGGAGCCACACCAAAACTTTTGAGTTGAAGATGAGGGAGGCGGTGCAACTTTGCTATAATGGTGTGACTTAAACAAGTATACTGTATATGGTAAATGTGATTAGTAACAGTAGAAATGCTTGCAGGAATGATGACTCCCAAAAAACATTTAAATTATTTCAAAAGGTAGGCTGGAAATTCATAGTAAATCTTGCAATATAGGATGGATTGCGTTATCTTTATTTCGGATTCAACTATTTAAGATATTTACGTCGATGATGAAGATTATGCAGATGTGCACAAGCAATTGTTTAATTAAAGACAAATCTCCCTTACCCTTTTGTGTTAAACCTTCTTCGTAATTACTGGATGGGTCTAGAATGAGGACACACAAGTGGAACATTAGTTTGTAGGTAAAGAAACACCAAATTTTAGAGTAGCATATTTTTGATTTGACACTTGTAAGGATTCTATCAGATATGTTAAAGGAATCATAGGCAAAATCTTATCTCCAAATTAGGTTTTCTCTCATATGCATCTCTGCTTTGTCATCTTGAGAACATTTCGGGGCTTAGCGTCCCCTAGGCCCGATCCATGACCAGGCCTCCTTTTTGTTACACACCTCCCCAGGAAGCAGCCCGTAGCAGCTGTCTAACTCCCAGGTACTTCTAGGTAACAGGGGCATCAGGGTGAAAGAAACATTTTCCCCATTTGTCTCTGCCTCCACCGGGGATTGAACCCGAAACTCAGGACTACAAATTCGAAGTACTGTCCACCCAGCTGTCAAGCGCCCTGACATGATTGTTGCAAACATTTTGTGTTCAATTCAAATAACTTAATGGCAGTCGGGAAGTGTAGTGCATTAGGAGGAAGGAGTGAAGACTTACTCCATATACAGAGACTGTTATCACTGCCAGTTTGATGACAAGACAATGACTGCTTGCTAATTTGAAACAAGGGACCAGACCCTCTGACAGGTAAGTTGAGATCAGAGTTCCCAAAGTTTTTACAATGAGCACGGATGTATACATAGTATGTTTTTAACACACAGCATACAATATAAAACTTTCCACATATATTATGCCTTAAACTACGCAACACATCAATAGCTGTGGTGAGTAACTGTCACAGAATTGTGCACTACAGCTTTTGATGTGTTGGAGTACCATGCAAGATTTAAAAGTCTCGCGGCTACACGGGGTTCACATCAGCTTCTTCAGGGCTCTTGTAAACCGACGCCATTTAAAAAAAAAAAAAAAAAACTGGGCAACATTCCCGGGTGCGAGAGCTTCAGTACTGAGTGAGCAACCAAGGCTGGTGCTTGCAGCATGAGCTAACAGCATTGCTGTTCAGCTTGTGACATCAGCAGCATTGCTGTTCAGCTTGTGACATCAGCAGCATTGCTGTTCAGCTTGTGACATCAGCATCGCCTAAAAATATATGTAACTGGTATTATTTAGTGATGATAGTATTACAGAAGACCCTTGACCGAGTAATAAATGACCAGGATTCTGATAATAGCAGGATTGTCGTGATAATTAGTGCTGTGCTGTATGGTGGGAGGAGTAATGCTGAGGGAGGGAGACAGCAAGGGACAGAAAGGAGAAGAAAACCTAAGAGCCAGGGTCCCAGGCAGACCACTAGCCAGGATGACTCCAGAACCTCATAATGAACCCAGGGAAAAAAACGAAAATCTAAACCTGAATGAAGAAGGATCCATCATTGAGACATAATCTGGGTTGCGCAGGAGGTAAGCCGCAACGGATATGCGGCTTACCTATGGAAGGACGGGACCGATGGCCCTGAAGGGGGAAAGAACCAAACCAAAGGAAGGGCTGACACCAATCCAAAACATACGAGACAAAGGCCCTTCACTCAACGCTCCCACATCCTCCTCAAGCCAGGCAGAAGACAGCTCGAGAAGGGAAAAGAAACGTAAGATCGAAGCCAAATGCCCACGAGCACGCAAATCCTCTGCAACCAACAAAGCCGAAAGAAGAGGAACCTGCACGTGAAGCTGGAAAAGGCCAACATCCCGAGAAAGCACGGGAGCGAACAAGCACCCGTGCTTGTTTACCTGGAGGTGCTCCAGGTAAACGTTTACCTCCAGGTAAACGGTGCTTGCACCATTTACCTGGAGGTGCTCAAATTCGCCCTCCAGGTAAACGTGCATAAAAGTAGAAGTTTCCCGCCAATCAAGCGTGCGGGTCAGACAGAACCCATGCCATGCCCCCAACGAAAAGAAAGGGCAGTCTGCCAGCCAGGAAGCCTCCGGAACCTCCAAACACACCCAAAAACGGGAAGAAGAACCGAACTCAAACGAGGATGGATCCATCGCAGAGGCATAACCCAGATCTCACAAGAGGTATACAGCAATTAAGAGCTTCCCGAGCCACCTTCGCGGAGATACGGGAAGTAGAAAACCTCTGGAAAGACAGCCGAGGTACCCAAAGGAGCCCGGAACCGAACCCGGGGAGGAGCCGAACCCAAATCATACTCATATAGGGAAGGGGGGTAAGTAAATTCCTCCCCCTGCAACAATAAGCCCCACGAGGAAGGCAAAAGCACCCAAGCGGGGTCAAAGGGGACCCAAGGCCCCCAGGTTGACTCCTCCTCAGCCCCAGGATCCCCCATGTCGGGACCCGGGGCAGAGCCGTCCTCCAAACCCTCTACCCCTGAAGAAAAGGCAGACAAGAA